TCTGATCATCATCACAGGATCATAAGCTCACTTGTATACGAACATAATCACAGTGGACGTACAAAATTAATTTAAGCTACATAAAAAATACAGTTTGATTATAAAAATGTTTTCCCGTTTAACTCATGTGGCTTTTTTGTGTCATTATTTTTATGCAAATAAAAATTATACAAATAATCTTCTACTTCCTGTGTACTAGAAACTATGTACATATACTGTGGTGCTAAATTGCAACAACTAATCAACATGTTTTGGAGGAAAATGCAATCACAGATTAGAGTTTGTTATCAATATAATGAGGGAATGTTAATTAATCCTGTTCAGGATTAAAGGTTTTTACTGTTGTGTTGAGGCTCTCACAGACATTTGGTTATTGTTAGGGAAAGATCAGCGTCTTTGTTTAGTGCAGGAAACACGACATGCTTCCATCATCTAACCATAAACCAGACCACACTTATGATTTAGGAAGTGAACCTCTGGTGTCAAATCATCTTTTTTCATTGTCACTCTTGGCCGTGCAGAGTAAAGTCATTTCCACTGCCAGTTTAGACACGCCATGCCACACCAAGCCGCATCGGAGACGGACCTTCTCAGGAGTAGGTCTTAAAGCTGAGCTGCCCATCCATCTCACCTACCGCACCCACCTCCTCTCACATTTGTAGCTTCTACCTGAATCTCTGTGGTTTGGAGGTTAGTCTCTGTCCTGCTTCCTGTTTTTACTTTAGATATCTGCTTTATTTTACTGTTTCATCTTCACTATCAGCTGTATTACAGTTGTGTGAAGAGGCTGCTCGAAAACTGTTGTGTTTCAGATGATACGTCATGTTTGTAGTCGACCAATGAATATGAGTTTACATATCACCTTGGGTTCGTCCTTCACCTTCTCAAAATGATCCCACACTTTGGATTTCCTGCCCGACATGTTATTAACTAGCCTGTGGAATAACCGCAGGTACCAGCCCTGGAAATTAACCTGACTCCTGTCTGACTGCTGAGCGTGGACACTTCCTGTGTCTGTCCTTTCAAATTAAAGTCACACATGGTCCAGTCATATAGGTTTGGATTTATTTTGACAAGGCGCAGCTTCTGATAGAGTTTCACGTTTATTTGTTTGTTTTTCTACAACTAAGCGACCAATGAAACTTTGCCAACTAATGTCCTTTCTGGTCACATTTGGTCGACTGTCAGGGGGCAGTATAAATCAAAGTGACTTGATGTTTAATGAAGAACATTAAAGCTACACCCAAATGTCATGACTCAGCCCACTTTTTACAAGGAGATAAGAGTGGCGGCAGCCCTCAGTGGGAAAACAAGTTTTGGCTTTTACACTTAGTGCAAGGTTGATTGCTCTGGAGATGTGAGGTTTTCACAGGATGCTGTACAGTGGTATGTGTCACCCCTCTGAGCAGCTTTATGTAAGTGCTGTTGGGTAAAATCAGCTTAAAGCTGAAGAGCAGAGGAGGAGGACGGACCGAGGGCTATTTTTGGGCGATTCCCTGCTGCCCTTGTAATTTGGAAAGGTTTACTGAAGGAGAGAGAGAGGGAAAGAGAGGTGGAGGGAGAGTGTCAGACAGGGTTGTTGTTAAATCTCTAACTGTGAGCTATAGGATGTCATTAAGCTGCTCTGCTTGGCCCTGCTCAGTGACTCACTTCTACACACACACACACACACACACTCTTCCATGCTCAGGGTCTTAAGCCGCTCTCTCTGCTCTTGTGTCTTATTCTCTCAGGTCAGTTGTATGTGCACACATGTGAGCTGTATGTTTAATGTGTGTAATGTGTAATATTAATACCACACAGAAACATGAATGGAGACTCGGGGGCCTTGACGATGACGATGATGATGATGACGGTGCTTTATTTATACTTGCAAGGTGACAGCACCTGCAGAGGTGTTGATGATCTCGTCAGAGTTTCCTGTGAAAGCATGACCTCATGCTCATCTGTCTGTCCTTTATTGTGCTTCAGACCATCATCCATAAAGACTCAGTGTGAGGAGGTGCTGCCTGAATGTGACTGCACGAGTTCCTGCAGAGAAATCATCAAAAGTCTCCTGCTATTAGATTCTGAGGGATGAAAGGGAGAGTGGCTAAGCCTGAGGGAGAGTGAACCTGAAGTGTCTGTGGTGTGAGAGTTCAACTTGGCAACAGTGAAACTCTGCACTCTGCTGTCTTTGAGTCACCTCATTGTGTCATGTTAATGCACAGTAATTCCCCTTTTCGACAGTCATGGGCTGGTTTGGTTTGGTGTGGTTTGGTCCGTCAGTCCACCACTGCAGGGATCAGCATTTCCATTCCAACAGGGCTACCTGCTGGAAGGTGTTTCTTTAACTGATGACGGCTCATCTTGAGTGATGACGTTTAAAAGCAGTGGGCTGATCCACGACTGTTATTTCTGCTGCATGTGTTTTTCCATCACACAGCAGGGCAGGTTAAAGAAGTTTACCTGTTGGAGGTGAGCTGTTTGCAGAGGTGCAGTAAGAGCCTGTTGTCTGCAGCTCTTCATCAACATCTCACTGTGGCTGTTTCTGCTTTTACTCTTCCTCCCTGCAGTGCTGATAGACTTGTCTTTATTGAAGAAAAGCTGCTAACGAAGTTCTGTTAATTCAGTGACAAACACATTTCATTTCCTGTAGATTCTTCACAATAAAATTCTTGTTGTTTTCTTTTGTATAAACTTATATTGTGAAGCAGCAAAATAAGGAAAGTTTTTGAGCAGCAACTTCACACAACTGCCTACTCCGACAAAGGTCTCTGGTGCAGCTCGATGTGACACAGTCTAAACTGATGATGGAAACATAAATTGGCAAGTCACTTGAGACTCGTGTGGAATACCGGTGCTTGGGCAGTGACTTCCAGCATGATACATGGTTGGTTGCTCCAGCGGCGACAACGGGAAATGTGGCGTAACAAGGTAATTTAATGGGGCGAGAGTCCAGGTAGGGTGGGCGGGAGGGGTGGTGGATGGGTCCAACAACCACCAACTTTTACCCGAGAGGCTGGTGTTTGCTTCCCATATGATTGCAAAGCTAAACCCTGTTTTTTTACAACTGTTTTGTCTCATCATGAATCTTTGGTCTAAACTGGGCGCCGTGCGTTGTGTACACAGACGGACTTAGAGCTGCTGACTTGTGATCCGATCACTCAGGACATGTTGATACCAGGTGTGAGCAGAGCCTGTGAGAGCAGCCACTGTCTCTGAGTTTTGTGTTGACCAACATAAAAACATTCAGCAGCAGTAACCTCAGTGGGCTGACAGCAGGGTGACCCTCTGATCTCTGATCAACACATTGTTTCTGTTATTATTTAGGTTCAGTAATGAATAAATTACACGTGTGATGAACAGGTAAGATTCAGGATTTGCTAAAAACATTCAGGGATTAAGCCCCATAAACCTCCACTGGCGCCGCGTATGACTATAATAATAATACAGTTATTGTTTAGGTCAGAGGGTTTGTTGTCGTCACTGGTAACATGGCGTCCTGTGAGATCAGATGCTGAAGTTGATTCAGCTGTATTTATCTGCGCCCTTTACCGTCTCTGACGTTCGGACCAGTTAAGAAAACATGAGCTTCATTTCAAAGGTATGTTGTACGCTCATGTTTCCAGTGTGAGTCAGTGTTACCGTCAGATGCCAACGTAAATGTCTCTGGTTGGTTTCTATTGGCTGATTAACAGAGCGGAGGTTTGAGGCTGAGCAGCATTAATCTGACCTGACAAAACAAACCAAACTGAGAGTGCACATGTTAGTGTGATCATGTTCTTAGGTTTCTTTTATGATTCTACTTAAAACATTTACAATAACTACATGAATACACGTCATTTCTAAGTCCGATCAGTGGGTGAGAATTCATGTCAGTGTCATATTTATTGTTCTGATGCCTGATGAGAGTTTTGGAAGGAGCTGTGCTGCTGTGTGTGGAGGTGAAGTTTCACACAGCTGGACTTTGACAGGATGAGTTACTGCCTGAGATGGACGGGAGGAGGGAGAGATGAGTGGGACAGAGACACAGTGGCCAAAGGCTGTCTTATGAACAAAAGGTCACCGCTCTGACCTCGCAACAGTCAACATGTCCATCAAATGTCAGACGTCCTTGAGCGTGACACTGAACTGTTAACTGTCCGCTTCACTGCCCTCATAGCGACGTGGCTTCAGCTGCTCCAGTTTATTTAGAAAAAGGAGACCCTCATTTGATATGTGCACGTGTGCCTTTGGTGTGTTTACTGCACTACTCTCGTGAATAAGGTTAGAATAATTTAATTTCTATTGTACGTCTGCAGCTGCGTGCATAAAAACCAAGTCAATAAATAAAGAACTAAACTGAAATACAAAACAAATGATGTGCATTTTCTTTTTATGTTTGCACTGACTGTGTCTTCATGAACTGAAAAGCAAATGTTAGCAAATGTTGGGCATAGTGCAAAGTATTTTGTTCCCAAGTTTTAAAGGCTACTTTAATTTTCTGAACTCAGCAGAGTGTGAATTCAACAGTGACAACTAGGGAGGTCAACTTTATCTCCAGGGTGTAAAGTGGGACGATGTTTTTCCTTTGTGTCAGTTTTGAGCAGGCTAAAAAACACAGCTCGAGACTGACGGTCACAAACTTAAATTAAATCAAAGGGAATTATGATCTGTTATATACAGTAAAAAGGCGTTTAAAGATGTTTTTCATATGAAAGATTACATTTAAGTTTGTTTCATTAATGTGTTCGATTAAATCTGTGTCCATTCAAAGGTAGTGTGATGAAACTTATTTTTTATAAGAGCTGTTTTTGTGATGGTAAGAAGCCTCAGGGCTGCTGTGAAGCTGCACCTAGTTGGGGCAACATTAACAGTTTGTCTTGGGTGTGTTGGTTATGAGTTATATAGGATGGACTGTGCAGCAGGAAGTGTTGAGGGATCTTCACACTAACTAAGGACAACATTTGCTCCTGATCAGAGCATGTCTTCTGCTCATAGCCACATAGTCCATATTCAGTTATATCTTTTGTACTTACATCGTTTGGAATGAGGAGCTCCTGAGATGTGGTTTGGGAGTTGGTGTCCATCCCTCCTGAGACAGACAGAGACAGAGACAGAGACAGAGACAGAGAGGTAATTGTCATTGATTTTATGTCATGAGTGGCTGATTTCTTTTATTGTCCTCCGACGCAGAACACAGACGCAGCAGACAACCACACACACAGACAACTGAATTTACCTCCAAGTCTTCAAGACTTTATTCTGGCGAGGAGGAAACAGCAAAAGGAAAATGTGAAGCGAGGCAGAGATGCTGCCAAATAACAAGGCATCAAAAACTGAAAGTAGAGACACTAAAAAAAAAAAAAAAAAAACTATATAAAAGAGTCTACAGTTCAAAATGACAAAATATTTCAACTCTAAGACATGATTCATTTTTAAATGTATTTTACTCGATATGATCTTTCTTTCTCTTCCTCATTTCCTTCCTTCTTTCCTTCCCTTCACTCCTCTCCTCAGTGAGTGGCCTGTCACAGCGAGCTAAACCAACAGTTCCTCTAATAGAGTGTGTGAATGTGTGCTGGCAAGTGACTTTCGTGTGTGCGTGTGTGTTTGTGTGTGTGAGGTTGTGTGAATTATTTTCAAGTCCACGACTGATGAGTTTAATACCTGAGACATAATGGAATAATCAGCCATCCATATCCCCACAAGATAATCTGCTCCTCTCTCATTCTGCGCCGTGCATGCGTGGTTCGCATTTGTTGGAGAAATTACATGACAAAGTGTCTCTTTAATGGTGAAAAATGTGAACGGACCTGACTAACACACATTTTATTTCACACCACATGTACTAAAACACTCAGCACACGGTGGAAGAAGCACTCAGATCTTTGGCTTAAGTAAAAGTAGTACTAGCACAGAGTAGAAATACTCCATTACTCCAACACTCCACCCCTCAGTCAGCTGAGATTCTTCAAGTCAAGCAGTCATTTTTTGGTCGTTCAGTGTGCAGTGTAGTTCTGGGGATGTGGTGCTTTATAGATTTAGCTGACATTTAGATTTAGCTGCAGATGGAGCACTACTTGCTTTTGTGCTGTTCTCAGTTACAGCAGCTGGATGGACACAGACCCAGGTGAGTCTGAGTGAGACGGAGGCAGCTGCTCGGAGGACGAGAGGCTTTTCCTGGTCAGGCTCAGAGAAAACTTTATCTTCTGCCTTCTGTTTAGAAGCTCACAGCAACTTAATACGATACAGTCTCTCTGTTTGATATATAGTGTCGGCAAAAAATGCTGCTGCACATTTCCGATCTGCCGTAGTTAGCGTTCATTAGCTGTGAGGGCTAACTCGGTTTGTTTACTATATTACGTGAAACGTCACTGTCACCCTGAACATTCAACCAAACCCTGTTCAAACTCTCAAAATTATTCTGGGTCAGATACGACTGTAGTTACAGGTAAGGCTGGGCATCAGTACTCGATAGCTTTAAGGTACTGAATACCAATACCAAGCTGTATCAAAACTTGTGCAGTCATTTTCTATCCAGATTTAGAACAGGAATCACCGCCTCGTGGTTGTATGCCTTCACAAGTTGCACTTAGAGTTTACATCCATGTCAGCGGAAACATGGATGCCTCTCATACGTCACAGCACAGTTTCAAGATTAGAGTCACCAATTCAGTATCTGACCAAATGTCTCCCCTTCTGTTCCTGAGATATGACGTTAAAACATGATGATGTCACAGTCAAGCTGACCTTTGACCTTTTAGATATAAAATGTCATCACTTGATCATTTTATCCTGTCAGACATTTGTGTGCAACTTTGTCATAATTAGCGTATGAAAACTTGAATTGTGGCCAAAATCCTCGTCCTTAACTCAAAGTGAGTGTTTGTGTTAAATTTGAAGAAATTCCCTCAAGGTGTTCTTGAGATATGGCGTTCACAAGAAGGACACGGACAAGGTCAAAGTGACCTTGACCTTTGACCACCAACAAATAATTAGTTCATTGCTGAGTCAAAGTGGATGTTTGTGCCAAAGTTGCAGAAACGTCCTTGCGGCGTTCTTGAGATATTGTATTCACAAGACTGTGACAGACATCTGAGGATCCCAAAACATAATGGCCACGACTATCACCGGTGCAGAGGCATAAAAAAAACACATCAACTGTATGATCAAGTTTGTGTCCTGGGCGCCATGTTGGAAACAGTTAAACGGGCGTACCATGCACCGCCAACCAGCCGGACCAAGTTTCTTATTTTACAGCTAAACAGTCACTAAAATATTTCCAAAAACATCCAAGACGTCAAACAGTCGATGATCAGCGCTGCCTTGTTCATGAGCAGCGACTCACATGACTGACAGCTGCGTTACAGACTCCTCGGCTCTGATTGGTTGTCGCCGTGGCGCCGCAGCCTGATTCTAGCAAATACTATTAGAAGCAGTCGAAGGGACATGATTTTTCTAGCCTTGTGTACTTCTTCCAGAATATCACGACAGTTTCAGCAAATATGACACAAAGCTATTTTCATAAACTGGAACTTTAGGCACAATTTTAAATGTAGGACGTTTACTCTTAATGAAATATTGTTCTACTGTGGTATCGATACGTTTACTCCAGGAAAAATGTCAATGCTAAAAGTGTAGAAAAACTTGGATACAAGTTCAATGAAACACAGAATAGTTGAATAGTTTCAAGATGGCCGTATCAGACGTGCAGGGTCGTCACAGTACAGAGCACAAAGTGTGCAGAGAGCAGCAGCAGTGTGATGCTTTGGTGATGAAGAACCTGCTTCACTCCACACTGACAGGAAATATCCACTCTGTTAAAGTGTGCTTCAACAAGACGCTGACTGACCCCCGTCTGCTCCAGAGCTGCTGCTCTGTGTCACTCTGACCTCCCTGAAGAGGAGCAGGAAACACGAGGAGCTCCCCTCAGATCACTCAGGGGCCACAGAGAGTGCAGCGCTGAGTGTTAATAATGAATGAGTGAAATGTAAACCTAGACGAAACATTAACAACATTTGTCTTTGATTCTTTAATTGTGGAGATGTGGCTGCATATGTGAGATGTCTCACTGCTGCACACACGGTCTTTGACTGTTACATAATAACAATACAAACTGACTGTCTGCACTGTTACACTTGTGATTTCACCTTTCAGTCTATTAGTGGAGTCACTGCAGCAGCAGCATGTTCTCTGACTGATGGAGCCAAAAATCCACAGGCAGAGTTTGATTCCCAACCGTCAGCGTGTAAACACAGCTGGACGCTCCGAATCAAAGCTAACACGCAGGGCTGATCGTGCACAACGGCTCACTAGATAAAGATTATAAAACATTTATTTTCTCATTATGTTCTGAGCTTTCTTACAAAATGACTGATGGGACGAACAGAGAGACAAGTGCACGTTACAAGATCAACTCAGAGCGTGTGTGATAAAATTAATAACTTTGAAAAACATCTTCTGTGTTTCTGATGCAGTGAATGATGAAACTCCATGAAATTACACTTTTCTCCTGAAATGGAAAAAATACAGTTAGAATATTTTTTTTCTTTCTTTTCCGGTTGAAACACAGTCGCTGCAGTTTTTGTGTCAGAGGAGCTGAAAAATACTGAAGAGCTGTGACAACAAAGTGACTTCAAAGTCAAATGTGCACAGAGGAGACAGATCAGCCTGCTGAGAGCCCGTCTCCACTGCATCACACACACACACACACACACACACACACACACACGACCAGCTATAAACAAACACACACAAACATGTACATGTATGCTGTTGTATACAGTTCATGTGTACATGCTTTACATGCACACACACAACATTTTGGGAAGGTCCGGTGCAACTGACGGTGACCAACCACACACACACACACACACACACACATACACACACACACACACACACACACACACACACACACACACACAGTAGAGCTGTATCCCTGAGTCAGCACTTCGAACAGATGCATCGACACTGTGCCTCGACAACATCAGGATGTTTGAAGTTGTTTTACTTTTCCATACAGATTGATTACAGATAATGTTTGTCAACTGTGACCTGATTAAGTTTGCCTGATTGGATCTCACCTGGAGTGCGTTGCACCAACTGGTCTTTACTAAAGGCCTTTGCACACTAAGTCTGTTTTTTTCGTCTGAAATTGTCATACGTCTAAAAATAAATACGACCTCATGTTGTGTCAATCACCTTTAAACACTGAGTCCGAAACTTAAGTCCGTGATTAAAGGAAATGGCCACTTTAGAATGAAAATACAGACAGTACTTACTGACCCTCATGCCGACAAGAAGTCCAGTGTAGTTTTTAATCCACAAAACTCGTTCAGGGTATCGGAGGATAACAGACAGCCGGATTTTTCAAGTGCACGGAACACACATTTTGAAAATGTAATAAAACTCCGCTAACGCGTTTCAAAAACGTCAGAACGGCTCGTCCGTCGTAATCCAAGTGCCCTGAAGCCACGGCATGCAAAACTGACTTGAAAAGACGTAATTTACTCCACTTTAATAGCATAGGTATTAGCCATCAGCTAGTCTCGCGCGAGTTGCCATGTAAACACAGCACTCCTGCAGGCTAACTGACCACGGTGAGAAATAATGCTATAAAAGTGGAGTAAATTACGTCTTTTCAAGTCAATTCTGCATGCTGCGGCTTCAGGGCACTTGGATTACGACAGACGAGCCATTCTGACGTTTTTGAAATGCATTAGCGGAGTTTTATTACATTTTCAAAATGTGGGTTCCGTGCACTTCAAGTGTAGCTGTTATCCTCCGATACCCCGAACGAGTTTTATGTACAGAATCATTTCATGACCCAGACAGCTATGTTCAACAGGTCAGATATTGATATTCAGGTGGATGATGATGACGAAGAGGATGTGGACCGCACAGAGACAGAGAGCGAGCGACAGTGTGGAGACAGAGACAGAGGACAGCTCAGTCCTTTCATGCAGCTGAGGAGACATGGGGAGACAGAGTGGAGACAGAGTGGAGACAGACAAATAACTCCAGTGGAGAGAAGCAAGTATAGTATGAAAACATGCATCAGGCTCAGATGCAAGGTTTCTGTGCCTTACGATGTTTTTCCAACGTGAAAAACCAGCGCACCAAACGGACGCAGGATATGCGAGGTAACCATCATGCCCACATGAACTAGTAAACATCTCGAGCCTTCGTCCTGCTCAGTGTTCAGCTGTAAAATCCTCTCTTGTGATTGGCTGCTGACAGCACAGTCACACAGAGTCAGAGCAGCAAACAGACACCGTCACGCTGCCTTCGTTCAGGGTTAGTTTGTGGTTATTTAGAGACTCAGTTTGTAAAGTTTACCGTCATGCTGTTGCTCTTTCTACAATGACACAGCAAAAATAAACAAATAAATTAATAAAAAACAGCGACTCAACTGAAAAAATGTGCACACACACACACACACACACACACACACACACACACACACACATTAAAAGTCCTTGCAGAATTTTTCTACTCTTCTCTCTCAGATCTTCACAGACGTGTGTGTGTGTGTGTGTGTGTGTGTGTGTGTGTGTGTGTGTGTGTGTACATACCAGGTAGAACTTGTGTAGCTGATTGGCTGATGGGGGCCAGGCCCTGCTGCTGCATTGACAACTGGTGGAGCTTTGCTAACTGAGAGAAGAACAGAGAGGTAAACATAAATGACAGTGACATGATCCAGTCACATCACCTGAAGAGTAAATCTGTCACTCAGTCATTATCTTACCTCTGAATGTGGAATGCCGTAGTGACTCTGTACTGCATATGTCTGGAATAGAAAAGAAAAGAGTGTCATTAAAGTGAAGTACCGACATGTCTGCAAGCATCTGTACCGGAGGGCATAGTCTCCACAGGGGAAATTATTACATTCATTTAAAATCAGCCCTGTAGTTTTGCTCTCGGGCTAAATAGCGGCTACAGCGCTGCCTCTGACTGGTGAGACAACACAAAGATCTTAGAAAGCCTGTAAGGAAAAAGGTCGTAGGAAAATCTTTACATTGAGAACATAAAGAAGAAGCTTTTTGTCCTAAAACAGATTAATGCTTCCCAACGCTCCACTTAGCACAGAGACACTGAAAACACAACTGTACAAGGACGTTTACTCGATCATCCTGAATCTCCTGCGACTCCTCGCTGTGTCTCGTCTGTGTTTATCTCTCCAAGATCATGATTTAAAGAGTTTTTAGAGGCCTTCCCAAATCCCACACTGAACTTCAAAGAGAATGAACACTTCCATAGGCGATGTAAGAGACAGGCTGCAGGGCTGGGGAGTGTGTGTGTGTGTGTGTGTGTGGAGAGGAAGGGTTGGTGCGCATGCATGCAAAAGACTTTGTGCATTAGAGAGACATTTGGTGTGCGTGTCTCCCTGAGGTTCACCACACCTTATATAACAGATTTCAGAGTTGTTATCCTTGACGCAGACTGCAGTGCCACTTGCAGCTGAACTTTTGACTCCTGATGCTAACTCAGGGATTTGGAGGAAAAACTGTTTGCAGAAAAAGAGCGCCTCAAAGGCGCAACAACAAAACCGGACCTGTGTGTGCTGGGCCGCCTTCATATTGTAATGCCTCTCCTTGATCTGTAGATATGCCGGTAAATATTCATACACGCTGGCAAACCTGAAAGTCTACCCTGCATGCCTGAATCCAAACGGTCCACACAGGCCCAACACATGAAATGCCATACACTCATAAATATTCATTAGTGGCTTAATACAGCACACATCAGAGAAGCAGCAGGCAGCAGCAGCTCCAGCACTTCTGGGCCCGCATGTATGAAACGTATCGGAGAAGGAAATCAGTTTTAACTGGATGGAAATTCTGACAGTGATACTTTTTATAAACTTTCTTAAATTATGAAAAGACTCTTATCTCTGCTGATATTTAGGAAAACTGTAGAGGAGTCCTAACCTACCAGGAGGTGGCGTTCTGTGTTTTGGGAACTCTTTTGGATCATGATCATGTCAGAATGAAAAACTTCTGAGGTCATAAATCAAACTTGGTTCACTCCTACGGCCTCTCATACTGATAATGCTCACAACAATGTTCCTCACTGGGTGTGGTTACATGATGGCTTCTCATTCAGAATGAAATAAATCTGAATGAAATCATTAGGAATTAAAGTATTTCCAGGTAGTTTACATGAGAAATATTCATTCTGAATGAGGGTTTACACGGGAGATCAGTTTAACCACCTTTTAATCGCCTTTATTCGGGTCCGCGCAAGGTTTGGGGCAGGGAAGGTTTCTGATTGGATAGGGGGCGGGGCGGATGTTACGTGTTTATGTTTATTGGAAGAAAACACTGTAGTCCTCACCTCGGATAACAAGATGCTTGACGACGCCGTTCTTAGTGCCTTTTTCGGGCTTGTTTTGCTTATATTCTTGAAGCAGCAGTACGACAACAACCTTGTTCTGCTAATGCTTCGTCTGTTGAGGAGGAGAAGGGAGGTAGAAGGTCGAAGAAGGGAGATAGAAGACCGTGCTGTGGCGAATGGAAGCCGGTGAGTGCAACAAGTCTCTCTATCTCAGCCCATTGCTATGCGCGCTATATACGTCATCGCGCCAGAAGGTCAAGGAAACGAGCATGCGCAGAAAGACCGGAATGAACTTAAAGAGGAATGAGTGTATACAAGTGAAAGAAATTCTATCATTCAGAATTAGAAAAAGAATATTCCAGCACCTTACATAGAAATGAATTTTCAATAACATTGGCCATTTTCATTCCGAATTAGGTGTTTACAAGATCACTTTTAATAGGAATGAACTTTCATTCTGAATGAAAAGGGAATTAAACTGTCCATGTAAACGCACTCAGTGAGAGTGAAGTAAAACTTAGTATGAATGAAATCCTGACTGCATGTCACCTGCTTGTCTGTCATAAAGGATGTCTCTACTTGTCACAACACATTAACAGCGGTTTAATATGTATTCACTCATGTATTCATTATTTATTTCAGATTACACCACAGCTATTATATCTGAGAGATGTTATCTTCCTTAAGTACGCCGAGCTGGCAGCTGATGCTGAGTAATGCAGATGGAAACAAAGTTTTGCCCAGTTGAAATCGGCTGCAGAGGCTTTGAAGTCAACCACCAGGCTGCTCAAAGAAATGGGAATTCGTGGCCAAGCCCAGCGTCAGGCCATCACAGCTCTCTGTGGCACAGCTGAACAGGCGAGCCGGTGGATATGGATCAAGAGGAGAGACGCCACTTGGGCCCTGAAACACCACCAACAACAGCAGCAGGGTATGAGGGAGTTAAAGCAGAGGGGGGCGCACCTGGGTCACCAGGTGTTGCTGATGAGCCCTCTGGAGGTGTCGTTAGCCTATCACCAGTGAAGGAGGGCACCCACCTGATGACCCCAGTGACGCCTTTGCCCTCCCTGAACCCCCACCTCTCCCCCAGCATGGCTCCAACTCTAACCCACAATCACATGTGCAACAACGATCGATCAGTTAAATGTTAGGTACGTTTTCCTCCTGTTAGTTTCTTCTCTTTTGCAGGGGGAGGTAGAGCGTACAGCCCGGTCCGGCGGGGGAGAGTTCAATCCACACAGACGTCTCTTTGGCTCTGTCCCTTCTACACTCTTTCCTACTTTTCTATTCATCTAACCTTTTGACCCCCAGACGGCACCATCACTCCCACTCACAGTCTCAAGTACGTGCATCAGAGATTGTAACATCAGGTCCTAGACTGAACTGAACTGAACTGATATGGTTGTGGGGGATTGTGACGGCCTTAGCGTCGGCCTATCATCTTCTTTCTTGCTGGGTGGAGGTGAGAGGTCATCAGCGATGCAGCACACCTGACAGGCTGAGCTCAGGAGGTTATAAATCAGACCTATAAGATCTTCTCTTTCTCTGGACCTCCAGACTGATCAACACATTTGTTGATCAGTCACACACACACACACACACACACACACACACACACACACACGCAGGGCTGCCCTCAGCACTCTGCCACCAGGGATGCATATTTGGCTCTATTTCTCTCTAGAGCCTCTTCCATCCTGTCTTCCCAGGGGAAAGTTAACTCCAGCAACACCACTTGCTTTGTTGTCTCAGACATCAAGACCGCATCAGGCCTGAGCGTGGTGGCTGTGATGGTGTCTGGGAACTTCAGCTGCCTAAGAAAGATTGACCAGGACCTGCCAGTCTCTTGAGGCTTCAGTCGGGGTGGAGGTTTCTCCCCGGCACGCACAAAAGAGACGGGGCATTTAAAGGGTGTTGCTGTTTGCTGGGTAAACAATTATTTAACACAATAATATTAATATCAGTGTATAATTAATAATGCTGATATTTTAAATAATATCACCTGTAACTGTTCACTATAAAATGTTCTATTTAAAACCTCTGAGGGTCGAACACGTCACAGCTGTCTCCTCTGGATGTTATAATCAGGACGCCTGCTCCTCAGTATTAATGATGGTTGGCGGAGCTCAACATCAAGCATGATAATGACCCTTTCAAACTCAAATGTTATTAATACATATATTAATTAACGATGCACTGCTCTCATGAATATTCATGAGTTTATTAATACAGCACGGATCAGAGATGGAGGTGTGAAGGCACCTCTGAGCAACAACAAACAAACAACAGAGGCTTCGGTTGATTCACGTCTGTTGGTTCAGCTGCCAACGAAATACACACATCAACAATATTCGAACCACGCACCTAAATTAATCAAACAATAAAAAAAATATTTCCATTTGAGCCTCAGCTTTAAAAATAATCTTTGGTCTAAAATTTTCTATAACTCCGCCAGGATGCCGACGTCCTCGCTCCCCCCTCCTCTGTTAAATGGTATCTCCCAGGCGCACTATGGCATCAAACCATGTGATGTTTGGTATTGCCGGATTCAGGAAGCTATCGACTTTTCAAAAATAACATTGTTTTTCTTTTATTTCTTATGTATTTCACACCAGAGCAGCCTAAACACACAAAATCCAAAATCACGATGAGTGGTGACAAGTCATGTCATACCGTATTTCAACGGGAAAAGTTAAAGGATTACTCGCGATCTTATGCGGAGCTGTTAGCGGGGACTTAGCTGGTTTATAAAAGGTAAGAGTCTCACTCCTACCACGGTTTTTGGCTGAGATATACCGTCTAGAAAGTGGGATCATAACTTTCACGTTTCATATGGCTTTATTTGGTGATATTTTATGGTGTTTCTGTGTCATAAACAACATCAGCTATCATAATCACACCTGATTTCAATAAGGTACAATGTTTGAAGCTGGCTGAGTGTTGTTTGATCACTGATAGTACTGTTTTGAAGCAGAGTGACCGACTTGTCATTTGGAGCTCCGCCTGGATCTTTTCATGGTAAAAACACTGTAGAATGGTCATACTTTGAGCAGTCTTCTTCAAATTTGATACAAGTGTTCATTGATAATGTGCCTACAGCCCCACAGTGTCATTTACCTTTATTCATCCTGAAAGTCACAAATCACATCATATCAGCACTGGACAAGAAGCAACACTGTGCAGCAGTTTTTGTAGATCTGTCCAAGGCCTTCAATACAGTTGATCACAACATACTGTTAAGTAAACTGTTCAACATAGGACTGAGTGAAAGTGCATGTGCCTGGTTTCATGACTATTTATCTGAGAGGCGTCAGTGTATTAAATCAGGTGACACCAAATCAGACTTCTTGTTTATCAATAAGGGCGTGCCACAAGGCTCCATTTTGGGCCCTGTACTCTTCTCTATTTATATTAATGATATTGTGTCCTCTTTAAGTGGTAGCCATGCCCATT